CTGTGGTCTTTCCCTGTTGTGCTTGGGGACCAAAGGCCATGGACCATACATGAACCAAAGACCATTGGGAATTATGTTATGGGAGTACCACAGGATGATTTGGACCACTTGAATTCTATATGATACAGGGGTGTCTGGGGTCCTCAAATGCCAATTTCTTTGGAAAATTCTCACTATATGTATTGCATCTATGCTCTGCACCCTCCATAAACCTAACAAATATTCTTATATATAATTGAACAATATATCTGGTGGGTATATGGAAAAAATGAAAGTCATTACTTTAATTGAACTTCTTGATGAAAGTTGTAGTATGTGTTAAGGCGAGTCTATATGTGATCATACCTTATCAAAATTTTGAAGGGAAGGTGAGATATGGCCATAACAAAAATTGTTGTCAGGCTTGTTTACAAAAAAACAAAAGTCATTATCCTTGATGAAAGTTGTAGTCCTAGTGAGGGTAGGTCTATACCTGCACATATTTTGTCAATTTGCTATCATTTGGAAAAGATATAACCTTTGTGCAAAAACAATAAACAGGGAAGACCACATGCTTAATGGGAAAGACCATAGGCATAATATTCATCTAATAGGGAAGACCACAGGTGTGATATTCATTTAATAGGGAAGACCATAGGTGCAATATTCATCCAATAGGGAAGACCACAGGTGTGATATTCATCTAATAGGGAAGACCATAGGTGTGATATCCATCCAATAGGGAAGACCACAGGTGCAATATTCATTTAATAGGGAAGACCACATTTTTAATGGGAAAGACCATAGGCATAATATTCATCTAATAGGGAAGACCGCATGCTTAATGGGAAAGACCACACTTTGGTTAAAGACCACAGTAACTCACTTGTGGTCTAAAAGACAAGCCCGACAACGATTTTTTGTATTGCTTATAACTTGCTGAAATCACATGCAATTGCTTAGATAATACAACATACATTCCCGCCCCAAGTAGTACTACATATTTTATCAAAGCATCGGACCATGGGAAATTATTATGTTATGAACACATAGTCTATTTTTGCCATTCTTATGAGTCACCTCACAGTCAGGGGCATTACCACACAGCAGATTTCGAAATTTCAGGCACCTGTGGGAATTTCTCCTTAATTTGTCATTCCCCATAGTTTCATAAGTCACCCCACAGTCAGGGACATTACCACACAGCATGATTATGCAATTTCAGGATCATTACATCAGATTTCATCAGGGGGATCTACATAGTTACCACATTATATGTTAATTTCGCAATTTTGACCACTTACTCCACAACACCTAAAATATCACCCATTTTGGTAACTCTCCAAAATATCAACCTCTCCATGTCATTTCTGTCTCCACTACACCACAATCACTCATCCTATGTATCTAAGTAGTAGTGTATGTCATATATGTATAATATAATATAATAGACCACTTTTTTGGTGTATTTCTGTCCACATGCCTCCTCCAGGTCTATAATTGCTGTGTCTGGTGACAACATGGAAAAACATTTTCGCATTTTTGCTCCTGTGATGTGAGGGTGTTCTAGAAGGTGCAGAACATGTTTAGGAGTGTATATAAACTCATTCCACCGCTTTTTTGACCCTCTGGAGTTCCCTGGAGCTCCCAACATCAACATGTATAGCATATGTGCATGAAACACAAAATTGGGTCGCATTTGTGAGTTTCTAGCTATATGTAGTTGCAAATACTGTCCCCAGCATCAGTTCAACATTATGAACAATGTATCAGCAGCTCATGACAGCAGGTGAAGCCTTTGTGGTGCTGTGTGACCACCCTCTCCTGATGGTTCACTCCCTGGGAAAAAATTTCCTGCAGGAATGCAGCTCCAGGAAGGTATGGGGACCATTCCTAAATACATTTAGAGCATTTTAATCAAGTTGGCACCACAGGATACCCACAGGGGCCTTGTACATAGACCAAAACCTCCAAACATGCATTTTCGCATTTTTGGTGTTTTTCACTGCTTTAGCTTTTCATAACTTGTCCAAGCTGTTCATATATCATCATTAGTACATATTTACATGATTTCTATGCCCAGGATCAGTTAGATATAGGCCGGAATATTAGGATCTAGTAGAAAAGAGCTATTATCACTGATAAGGGACCACAGTCTCCCCCAGGTCAAGATTTGATGATCAGACATTTGGAATACCTGTCTAGCACACCCATAAAGATGGCCCTGAATTTGTAGAATGATCCACCCAGTCCCTAGTGAATGGCAAGCAAAATAGACATGTCATAGAGCGTGGGAAAGTAAAAGTATCCCACGCTCTATGACATGTCTATTTTGCTTGCCATTCACTAGGGACTGGGTGGATCATTCTACAAATTCAGGGCCATCTTTATGGGTGTGCTAGACAGGTATTCCAAATGTCTGATCATCAAATCTTGACCTGGGGGAGACTGTGGTCCCTTATCAGTGATAATAGCTCTTTTCTACTAGATCCTAATATTCCGGCCTATATCTAACTGATCCTGGGCATAGAAATCATGTAAATATGTACTAATGATGATATATGAACAGCTTGGACAAGTTATGAAAAGCTAAAGCAGTGAAAAACACCAAAAATGCGAAAATGCATGTTTGGAGGTTTTGGTCTATGTACAAGGCCCCTGTGGGTATCCTGTGGTGCCAACTTGATTAAAATGCTCTAAATGTATTTAGGAATGGTCCCCATACCTTCCTGGAGCTGCATTCCTGCAGGAAATTTTTTCCCAGGGAGTGAACCATCAGGAGAGGGTGGTCACACAGCACCACAAAGGCTTCACCTGCTGTCATGAGCTGCTGATACATTGTTCATAATGTTGAACTGATGCTGGGGACAGTATTTGCAACTACATATAGCTAGAAACTCACAAATGCGACCCAATTTTGTGTTTCATGCACATATGCTATACATGTTGATGTTGGGAGCTCCAGGGAACTCCAGAGGGTCAAAAAAAGCGGTGGAATGAGTTTATATACACTCCTAAACATGTTCTGCACCTTCTAGAACACCCTCACATCACAGGAGCAAAAATGCGAAAATGTTTTTCCATGTTGTCACCAGACACAGCAATTATAGACCTGGAGGAGGCATGTGGACAGAAATACACCAAAAAGTGGTCTATTATATTATATTATACATATATGACATACACTACTACTTAGATACATAGGATGAGTGATTGTGGTGTAGTGGAGACAGAAATGACATGGAGAGGTTGATATTTTGGAGAGTTACCAAAATGGGTGATATTTTAGGTGTTGTGGAGTAAGTGGTCAAAATTGCGAAATTAACATATAATGTGGTAACTATGTAGATCCCCCTGATGAAATCTGATGTAATGATCCTGAAATTGCATAATCATGCTGTGTGGTAATGTCCCTGACTGTGGGGTGACTTATGAAACTATGGGGAATGACAAATTAAGGAGAAATTCCCACAGGTGCCTGAAATTTCGAAATCTGCTGTGTGGTAATGCCCCTGACTGTGAGGTGACTCATAAGAATGGCAAAAATAGACTATGTGTTCATAACATAATAATTTCCCATGGTCCGATGCTTTGATAAAATATGTAGTACTACTTGGGGCGGGAATGTATGTTGTATTATCTAAGCAATTGCATGTGATTTCAGCAAGTTATAAGCAATACAAAAAATCGTTGTCGGGCTTGTCTTTTAGACCACAAGTGAGTTACTGTGGTCTTTAACCAAAGTGTGGTCTTTCCCATTAAGCATGCGGTCTTCCCTATTAGATGAATATTATGCCTATGGTCTTTCCCATTAAAAATGTGGTCTTCCCTATTAAATGAATATTGCACCTGTGGTCTTCCCTATTGGATGGATATCACACCTATGGTCTTCCCTATTAGATGAATATCACACCTGTGGTCTTCCCTATTGGATGAATATTGCACCTATGGTCTTCCCTATTAAATGAATATCACACCTGTGGTCTTCCCTATTAGATGAATATTATGCCTATGGTCTTTCCCATTAAGCATGTGGTCTTCCCTGTTTATTGTTTTTGCACAAAGGTTATATCTTTTCCAAATGATAGCAAATTGACAAAATATGTGCAGGTATAGACCTACCCTCACTAGGACTACAACTTTCATCAAGGATAATGACTTTTGTTTTTTTGTAAACAAGCCTGACAACAATTTTTGTTATGGCCATATCTCACCTTCCCTTCAAAATTTTGATAAGGTATGATCACATATAGACTCGCCTTAACACATACTACAACTTTCATCAAGAAGTTCAATTAAAGTAATGACTTTCATTTTTTCCATATACCCACCAGATATATTGTTCAATTATATATAAGAATATTTGTTAGGTTTATGGAGGGTGCAGAGCATAGATGCAATACATATAGTGAGAATTTTCCAAAGAAATTGGCATTTGAGGACCCCAGACACCCCTGTATCATATAGAATTCAAGTGGTCCAAATCATCCTGTGGTACTCCCATAACATAATTCCCAATGGTCTTTGGTTCATGTATGGTCCATGGCCTTTGGTCCCCAAGCACAACAGGGAAAGACCACAGAACACCGGGCAGACCTGCAGAAAAGCACCTCTTAGGTGAAAACCTCTGTAGGTGACAATCAACCTAAGAGGTGTCTGTAAGGGGGTGACCAAAGTGCTCCAGTAGCTGAGACATAGGATCGCACGAGTCGTCTGAGCGGTGAGGCATGAACGACATGGGAGAGCAGGAGGCAACCACAGCTAAAAAGCCGTTCAACATCGACAGACATTGCTGTAAAAGACCATAAGTTGTGAGCAATGCCACGAGAAAAGAACTGACCCGGGATTGTGAGGTAGTCAAGTGCCATTCGAGAAAGAGAAGGATAGAGCGCACGATGTTTAACCCACCATGCGAGTGGGTCTTTGACGTCTTCGACATCAGTACTGAGGTAACGTTCGAGTTCATTCCATAGATCAGCAATTACTGGCGGTGCAAGTGCAGGCATGTGGTCAAACATGTTCTACAAGAGAGGGTCGGTTAGAGTACTGGAATAAAACAAATGACTTACCATTGAGGATGACTTGTTCTCAAAAAGGTTTACCATCTCATCAGTCTCCCCCTCGGTGTTATTGCTCGTCGAGTATGAGTGACTATACTTGTCGCGTACAAGTGACAGCGCAGTTTCAATCCAATCCTCCCCCCAATTTGCACGTTCGAAGTAAGACAGCTTGTGTCGTGGATGGAGAACTATAAAAAGATTTAGTTAGTAAGTAGAGACTTAAAGACAATGCTACTGGACTCACTCATTGTGATACGGTAAACATCTGAACTGTCTGTAAACTGGTAGTAGCGGTTGAGTGTTTTTTTGGCCAGTCCTGCAGCAGCATGAATTGAGGGTAGAAGTTTGTTGTTGAGCGTGTGTGTAGCAAGTGTCTGGTCAATAAGGTCCATCACTGGGATAACTGTTGCAAGGTTTGGTGTTGCACGCGAGAAGAACAGCATGGCATCCTTAAGGATCTATTGTGACATCAGCAATGTCACATAGTAACACACGCCGGTAGCCTCACCTTCAATACATCCTGCAACTGCTCGACAATACACCATTTGTTATCGCTCATCTCGAATGACCTCAAACCCAACTCGCGATGCTGTGTAATTGTGTCAATTGCCTTCTGATGCTGCAGTGCGTATTGCAGCATATTGAATGTGGAATTCCACCATGTCGAAATGTCTCGCGGCAGCATGCTAGGCTTCATCTTCAAGTCGTGCAGGATCTCATGCCAGGCGGGGAGAAGTTTTGTTGTAGAGTGAATTATCTTGTATCCGAGTTTACGAAGCTATTTGCCCCATCCAAGTCAACTGTAAGTTTTTGCATTGATTTTGAACAAACCAACCTTCACAAGCGCTAATTGAACTGGAACTATTGTGTTTTCCAGAACTTCACATTCATTGTCAGTCAGCAGTTCGGTTCTATCCACCAAACCCTCCATATTGTCCATCAAATCATCGTCATCAGCTTGGATGTCTCTGATTGTTGCATAATCTTTATCTTCAATGTTTTCACTCAGCTCCTCAAGTTGTCTCTTCAACCGAATTTTGTCTGCCGTCAGCGCAGCTGCTTCATCTTCCAAATCACCTTCACCTATCGCTTTGTTTTTCTTCACATCGAACTCACGGATAACCGCCTTCGCTATGAGGTTGACGGTATGCAGGAAGCACCGCGTGTGCGTTGCTCGTCCTCCAAACTCTGGAAGACTTGCAGCAAGTTCATCAATCATAGCATCATTGTTCGATGTGTTGTCGCATGTGATACAAAGAGTCTATATGCTCATAAGTTTCAATTCGTTATTCTTTTTTTTTGCTTACCTTCTGTTCTACTCCAAATTCTTCTAGGACATTCTGAAATGTGCCGGCAAGCTCTACACCTGTGTGAGACTAGTATTACAATATCAGCCCTTACTATGATGTTAGCGCTGCTATGGTAAGTGACTTTTACCTTCGCGACTTCAACTATATCTAACGGTAAGCATAACAGTTCTCCATTGTGCTCTAGATGTGCCAATACGGCTATGAGGGCCCTATGGTTTGGAGAGGTCCACCCATCAGTGGTGAAGTTGATTTTACCTTCGTACTCCTGGTAAGTGTTAGTTGGTGGCTCAATTGTTATAATACGAAGCTTACCTTTGTCATTTAGCAATGCGCTGATGAGTCCATGCAAAAACAAGTCGGACATCTCATGAGACGGTCGAAGGGGACGGTAAGTAATATTCCGGTCGTCCTGTTTTCATCAAAGACTGAAAACCTCTATCTTGCACTATTTCGAATGGACGCAGGCTTTCCGCCACCCAACGAACAATCTCGGCTCTGTCAAGCATGTCAGATCTCGGTCAAGACAATATCGAAATCGCCTTACTTTGTTTCAGTGCGTGTATGTTGACGATGAGAGTATGTGACCTTTCCTTTACCCTTTCTTTCAAATGATGCCGTGATTGAACCATTTCGCAGCACGCTGCCAACAATCTTTTTCTGGACCTCATCAGCATCTTTTGCTTGATCTGCAGCCTGCAGGACATCATCTCCCCAACACAAGCATGTATGTTTGCGCATATTTCCTGTCGAGCGAGCATCTCCTTTATCAAGGTAACGCTTCACTGTGGTCTTGCAACCTTTGGCCAGGCACCTGAATTCATGTGCACGCTGCCCATTCTGCTCAATGATCTTTGGAACTGGATCAAAGAAGGCATATGCCGGTGTAGAGACTCAATCCTGGGTAGCCTCACAATGGCACATATTGCAACATAGGTTGAGTCTACAGTATCATGCATGTAACACGACACTTGCGCAATAAACGCGACGTTCGCGCGACGCGCGCGACTTAGGCGACACTTCCGCGACATAGGCGACACTTGCGCGACTTGCGCGCGCTTTAGGCGAATTTTCCCGCGCCTAAGCGCTATAGGGCGCCTGACTTCCCACTGTGTTTTCCCATGTCCAACCAAGTTCCCAGGTATGCATTTCTCCATTTATCATTTATTTCAACATCGTACCATGTTTATTTTCACTTGGTACACATTTTTCATTACACATTTTTTACTTACACAACACACATTACGACGGACCACCATCATCATAGACAGTCACCATCTCCGAGTTTTTATTATGTTTTGAATAAATCATCGCAAGCCCTAGTAGCAGTTAGCTCTAGTGGCCATATCCGCATCAGTTGTCTTATCAGCATCTCAGTACACGTCTTACCATCTCACTATCGCTCGCATACCGCTTTCACCCAGTTCCGCTTTTCGACGCGCGACTTTCCCGCGCTTCGCGCGCCTATAGCGCCTTTGTTCCCGCGCTTTCGCCTTATCACGTGCTTTGCGCATTCCCCCTAGAGTTGACCAGTGGATATTTGCTTTCTCCGCTTCCCCTAAGGGACGAACATATCGCACTCATATTTTCCTCCCTTCAACAATTATATCAGCTGCACCCTCAGCTGAGTTGAAGATCCTTCACCGGTGAGTTCCAGTCTTTCATGAGCCGCTCTGTTCGTTTTCATTGAGTTTATGTTGTGTTCTAGGTTTCTAAACTTACTAAGTTCATCCTTGGCACTTTCTTCTTCAACCTCCGAGTCCGTCAACACAAGTTCAACACCATTATTCGGTTCATCCGGTTTATCACTGAGCAAGGTGTCTTCCTCCTCTGTGCAGACAACAGCTCATCGACTTGGCACAGCTGGTGATGACGCCGTCACAGAGTTATCGTTCGGCACCCTCTCCTCGCTGGTGAGAGTGTCTCCAGTGGGTAGGCTGGCTTTGGCCTTTTTTGGCCATGTCTTTGTGCTATTGCCGAGTCCTGTCAGCATCAGGTTTTCGTTTTTTTGGATGTGTCTTCAAGCGCAGCTTTAGCTTTGGTGGAGATCTTGGGTACTTGTTTGGCAGTAGTAGGATCATCCATGGTCACAGTGAGAGTTAGGTGAATGATATTAGTGTGGTCTCATAAAATATCGACGGGGCTTGCCCAAATGTACATTAGAGTTTTCATTGACATTGACATGTGTAGAACCTCTGAACTCTTGTTGACAGATAGTTACTAGGCCAAATCTTTCGAAACCCTGTGCCAAGGGTATGGGTACGGGTACACCAACACTAGACCCCTACCCGTACCCCGGTGATACCCATACCCCGAACCCGCGCGGGTTACCCCGACCCATGCATTTGCCTATGCAAGGCAAGTCAAGCGACACGTGATCAGAGAGATTGGCAAGAGCGGAATCGATTGCACCAAAACTAGGATATAGCGACTAAAGTGACTCCGACACCAGCAAAGGTCCAGGGAAGGAAAGTACTGTACTGTATGTGCGATGGGTCATTTTATCATACTGCGTAAAAGTTCGGGAATGTGTAGGCGAGAATAGTAGCGACACTGATGGAGGCACAATGTAGCGACAGGTAATAAGACATGCAGCGCAGCGGAACATGAGGATGCATGTAATAAGACCAGCAGAGGTAGGTGGACATAGGCAGGACATGGGAGGACGGAATACCTAGGTGTCGGGCCAGGCAGTGCTGCTATGGGAGAAAAGCAGTTCCAAAGTGGATAGCTTGGGAGCTGAATAGCGCTGGTGACTAGCGCTTTACTCCTTTCCTCAAGGTAAGGCAAAATGTGCCTATGACACTCATACGCGCCTAGCGCTGGTATGATTGTCACACTGGGATCTTCGGAATTAGGAAGATACGAAGATTTTACATTGCAGACATTGAACGAAAGCCCATGTTCCATCACTTGAAGTGATGCAAAAGCAAGGTTGCGCTGTACTTTCGACATGTCGACGAAAAAATCCCCACTGTATGATTGGTTCGTCAGGAAATTGCAGAAGGATGCATGGAGGGGTCGGATGGGGGTAGATGAGTTGGTGGTACCGCTGAGGAGGGATCCCATGTGTTCTATTATGACTTGCACTTCGTAATGCTCGCCTGTGTCTGGAAAATGGCTCCGCATAACATTCAGGGACTCCAAAGAGAGAGGTTCAGCTGCACCAAGGATTTGCCCCATCACAGAACAAAACCTCGCTAGTTGTTTGTGCTGAGACGGGGTGTGCGTAGGCCTATCCTTTCGTATGATCTCTGTCAAAATGAACTGATACATATCAAATAATAAATTTTCCCGCTTGGTGTGGTGTTCAAGCTCGGGCTAGCCTCGCAGAACCCCATTTCGCTATAGGAGTCAAGCAGCCTAGACATCCCCATCAAACCCATACACCACTTCCTTGCAAAGTCTTGACTCACTCGACTCACCTGTGTCGCACCGGTCTATGTCTGACTCGGCCGATACGGATCCGTGGCCTCGGTCTCTCACAGAAGAGCCAGGGTTGTCTTAACCTGTCCCTTGCTCGTCAGATCGGCCATCGCGCACCTCAGCTGACCATTCCATCCCATTGGTACCAAATCCTCCCATGTCCTACCCATGTCCGCCTATCTCCATTGGTGCGTTTTAAGCTCATTTTACTGTTACTGAACAAACAGCAGGCGTTATTACATGTATTCCCATGGCCGCAGCACTCGCGAGCCTTATTACATATCGACCCGAGTACCTCGCGTTTCGCTACTACTCTCGCCTGTGCGATTCCGGACATTCACGCAGTTAGATAAATAGGACTCAAGTTCATATTATCCCTTACTTCCCTTCCTCGGACATACCTGGTACCGTTGTAGGAGTCACCTTATTTAGCCCTCGATTGTGCAAATTGATCCCCTTGCTTTTTATCATCGGATGTGCCTAGACCACTCTAAGTGCACTCTATCTAAGGCTTCTTTACCTAGGCCTTGTAAAGATCCGGACCGCTACTGGTAGTCTTACATCGGCAACCCATACCTAGTCTTACCTCGTCATACCTAGTTATACCTGGACTCTCTTTCCTCAGCCTAGACTTACGTGCCGCTCATCGGCATCAGACTCCCCACCTTGCCTCGGTATCTCGCATCGGCATCTCGCATCGGTATCTCGCGCCAGGTGTACCATCGGTATCCTATATCGCGTCGGACATTTTTGGACTCGGACCTTCGGTCGGTCAGATATCTCGGGCCATAGAGCTTAGTTCTTCCTTTCTCTTCCCTCGCACTATTCGAAGGAAGTGCTTCAATAGCAGTCCCCTTGGGTTGAAGTACTGCACTCGCACCCATTTGGATTTAGTAAGTTAGTTGGTATATCTAGCTGATTACTATTTCTTTCACCACATCGGCAAGATCACGGGACGTGACAAGACTGAAGGCCTTGATTGGAGATAAACCAGGAGGGGGCGCTTTGATGTATCTGCAGGCGAGACACGCCCACTCGAAAAGCCCATCAGCTTTTTCAGTGAGAGTTGTGAATTCTCTATCCCCAAAATTCGAGAGCCCTTCCAGCTCCTTCAATACGTAAGTACAGATGTTCGCGCTCTGCAGTGGCTGATGAGATGTTGTCCATGGACATCCGTCGAATATGCTGAGCACCTGCAAGCTCAGCTTCGATGTCATGAAGGGGACGAGAAGTGATGATAATCCGGAAGTTGGCTGGGAGTTCGGAGATTCATTGAAAACCTAGTTTGCCTGCAAGAATTTGGAGGAGGGGGAGCCGTGTCTCAACTCTGCCGCTCTCGTCCAGTGCATCTATCACAATGACGACGGGTCTTACAATCGATGCTGAGGGTTTCCTCAATGGTTTCATGAGAAGCTTGTCCCACTGCTGGATGATATCCACAGTAGTCTTGAGCGAACTCGCATCTTTAACTGCCTCTGCCAATGCTCGCCTCATCTCCGGATCACGGTCAGCCAGGTCGTGCGCAATGGTAGAAAAAATCTTTTCATGGTGACAGTCGGCATCATCAGGCATTTGACTGGAGAATGACAAAGATTTAGCTACCTTTATCTAATATATAATATTGAAAATATGTATCACAATTATAGATCAAATGATATAGGAATAGATAGGTAGACTTCACTGGTGGGATCTCCCAATGCTGAAATATTGATAGGCCTATGGCACCAGGTTGTGATCTGCCAGCACACTGTCATTTTATTATAAAATGTATCTACTCTTACATAGGTAGCTTCCAATGGCAGACTCCATAATCACTGACTTTGCTCCAAGGTGTGATATTGTCATAGCAACTATTAGCAAGATGCTGATGTTCAACTGAATATGTCTGGCTTTAGATAGCCAGCTTTTGATGGTGAAATATATAATTACTGACAGTGTGCCAGGGTATTATATTGAGTGGTAATGGCATACCAAGATGTTGATGCATGATCAAAGATGTCTGGGCAGCTTTCAATGGCAAGACCTGTAATTACTGACAGTAGGACAGGGTATGCTATTGAATCATCATAACATATCAAGATGCTGATGTTCAACTGAATATGTCTGGCTTTAGATAGCCAGCTTCCACTGGTAGGATCTAGAATCATTGACAGTATGGCAGGGTATGCTATTAAATCACCATGGTATATCAAGATGCTGATTTGTGACCAAACACATCTGGGCAGCTTTCAATGGTGGAACCTATAATTGCTGACAGTATGGTAGGGTATGCTACTGAATCACCATACCACGTCAAGATGCTGGTGTTCGACTGAATACATCTGGCTTTAGATAGCCAGCTTCCAATGGCAGGATCAAGAATCATTGACAATATGGCAGGGTATGCCATTGAACCTTCATGACATATCAAAATGACAACTTACGACCAATCAAGTCCAAGTAGCTTCCAATGGTGGGATCTATCTTCACTGCCAGTGTGTTGTTGAATTGCCAGGCCATATCAAGTTGCTGATCTTCGGCCAAAGACATCTGGATAGCTTCCAAAGGCAAGATCTATAATGGCTGACAATATGGCAGGATATGGTATTGAAATATCGCGCCCCATCAAGATGATGACTTTCGAGTGATCACATCTAGGCGGCTTCCTATGACAGGCTCTATCACTGATGTTAACTGAAGATGTTGTATCACATAGATGGAACATTTATCGATTGCATTATGATTCGCATACCCTTATAGACATATATGGCTATGATACAATAATGAATTACGTAGTGTCAGTACTTGTATTTGCTCGTTCTCGCAATGCAGCTCGTTTTGCGCGAATTTTTGACAATGTGCTGTTCTTGCTGATACTGCGCTGTGAAGAGGATGAGTTGGGAAAAATTCGACTGTGTAAGTTGTCAATTGAGAGATTTGTTGTGAGGTTGAAGATACATATTACGAACCATGTCCACCATGTCATCAACTCAGCTACTTCCTCACTTTCATCGGGATCCTCCAGCAGGTCGAGAATACTGTGATAGAAATTTTCGGAATCGGTAACCATGTCTGTGCGCGAGAATACAGACGACAAACTTAACGAAAATCGAACCTAGAGAAAGAAATATCAGCGGAGGCGGGTATACAATATGAAATTTTCTGCATGCCTGTGTGGCAATATAGGCTAAAGATCCTTTCGTTACGGACTTCATGCCGTGAAGGTAGGCATTGCCGGAACATGTAGCTTTGGGCTCCCTATCCATGGAGCTCGGAGACGTAAAAACATGTTTGAACCCCTACTGAGAGATAATATGTTGAGTCAGATCTTTATTGCCAACACTGCACTTACAAATACGAGTATCTTGCTTTTCAGCAAGCCCTTCCATGGATCCTCAGGATCGTAATCACACCCAGCATACAAGAACATGGGCCACTGGTCTCCACGAACTGCGGTTTCACCGCTTTTGAGGCTCTGCTTGGTTCTGGATAGTGTTACAAGGGTTGGGTGATTAGATGACAAGACTTACTCTGCATTCGACCAGTCAAGCCCAGTGGGACAGAGCAATGCACTGGTAACCTCATGATTGAATCCACGATCAGACTTGATGTTTCGGGAGAGGGGTGGGATGACAGCCTGTCCTTTGGGCACAAGCCATTCGAGGATGGCGCACCAGAAGCACCTTTACCTAGCTGCAAAGCGCTGAGTATGACAACCTTCCGGTATGGAAAACTGACCAATTCTCCCACATGGATAATGTCTTCCTCCTCGCCATTTGTCAGACGGTCTAGAAGTCCAGGATACGAATCTACTAGCTCAATAAACACCTTGTGTTCCTGTCGTACGCTACCATAGTCCTTTAAGCGCTGGCGGTATGTCATTGTCACGATGGTCCTCACTCTGCTGGATAATCCTCGATGGGAGAGTCCATCAACTCTTCGAGTTGGAGTATTCCTGTAGTCAGAAGTGCAGGATAATTGCAGAGTGCAAATACTGTCCGGCCAAAATGGCGGCCATGAAGAACAAGCGGATTAGATGAAGTCCTGACGAGGACAAGTCAGGAAGGCTGTAGCTCACCTGAAAGGGCACTTACGCCTTTTTATGCGGTCCCAAACGAAGGGCTGAACCACTACGCTTGCGCGAAGGATTGCTGGGAGAGGGATGGTTCTCGTCACTACTCATACTAAGTTGAATAAGCGATGTACCATTAGTAGATGTGGGGCTTTATATGTGCACACGGAGATGAAAAATCCTCGCCGTCCGAGCACCATAAATATTGTAAGGATAAAACTGCACCTTCCGAGCGCCATAGATATTGTAAGGATAAAACTGGGCCTTCCCAGCGCCATAGATATTGTAACGACAAAAACTGGGCCTTCCCAGCGCCATAGATATTGTAACGACAAAACTGGGCCTTCCCAGCGCCATAGGTGCCGTAAAGTAAAGCAAACCTCGTCATCCTGTTTACCTGACATGCGTAGTCATCGTTGCATGTAGATACATAAATGATATGCTTACAATTATGAGGTATTATCCCCCGCGGGACAGCTCAATGAGCGCATCTTTGAATGATAACCTTCAACTGGGGGAGCGCTTATTAGTAATTAATAGTATATGCAGTACAAAGCATACTGCTAATATACACCACATGATAATCGTAGCAGGGAGTTTTTTTATTAAGTGACTATTGTATAGGTATTAGTTTCTAGTTGGTGAAGTGTTGAGAGTTGGGTAAGTTCGAAGTCATTTCTCCAGGTTCTAGTTAAGTGTAAATTCGACGGCCCATAAGTTAACCAAATGCTTGATTTTCAAAAAAAATCTGTGCAAGTCCAACAACACAATTTATATAGCTAGACTATCATACTAATACTAGAGTGAAGTATGATGGAAGTTGGGAAGAGGATCGTTGTGTGAAAAGAGCGTGCTAATATAGTGAACAACTACATTCAAACTCAGCCGGCAATTCCCCAGCGCCACAATTTCAATTACCGGTCAGGCGCTGCCGGTAATCGAAATCGTGGCGCTGGGGAATTGCCGGCTGAGTCTGAATGTGTATACTCATTCAGTATATCAAGGTGTCCTTCGCATAATCACCTTTTTTTCTCTCCCAAGTCTGGGCATGAGTCTATATTTAAATGTGAACATGTAGAGTAGTACATGTGATTCGTGATAGTATGTGTTTAGCTCTGGCTGGCTGCACGTTTCTAGTCCTGCAGCAGGGCCTTTACTGTCACCACCCAAAGCGATTGTAGTAAGCCAGGCCACACTATATTGTGTGGGCATGACTTTAATTCGACAAATATAGTATATGATAGAGGTCTCGGTCCACAATTCCCAGGGACTCAATGCTGTTGCACCGTCAGTCCATTGTGCAACTGAAAACCACAGCTCGCCACAATATTATCTAATCCAAAATAGTGATTCACTATAAATACTGACTTCGCGCTGTGACAATCATACCAGCGCTAGGTGCGTATGAGTGTCATAGGCACAATTTGCCTTACCTTGAGGAAAGGAGTAAAGTGCTAGTCACCAGCGCTATTCAGCTCCCAAGCTATCCACTTTGGAACTGCTTTTCTCCCATAGTGCGCTGCCCGGCCTGACACCTAGGTATTCCGTCCTCCCATGTCCTGCCTATGTCCACCTACCTCTGCTGGTGCATTATTTTTCATTAAACGTCGCTACTCATCAGTTGCAGGTCTTATTACATGCATCCTTGTGTTCCGCTGCGCTGCATGTCTTATTACCTGTCGCTACATTGTGCCTCCATCAGTGTCGCTACTATTCTTGCCTACACATTCCCGAACTTTTATGCAGTATGATAAAATGACCCGTCGCACATACAGTACAGTACTTCCCTTCCCCGGACCTTTGCTGGTGTCGGAGTCACTTTAGTCGCTATATCCTAGTTTTGGTGCAATCGATTCCGCTCTTGCCAATCTCTCTGATTGTGTGTCGCTTGACTTGCTTCAAGTGAACGTTGCTAAAGTTCCTTCATAAGTTTGATCTTCGCAATGTCAGGATCGCTGTTGGTAGTCGAGCTATAATCTAGTCGCTATCAGGCATTCCACTTGCACTATCATACCTTATCCCTCGCTTTCCCTTCTTTTAATTTCTTCTCGCTGTCGCTAGTCGGACATCGCATAGCGCTATCACATAGGACAACTTGCATAGCGCTACTTACTTATATGCACGTTTCTCTGTCGGAACTCACTTGTCGCTAGTCGCTGATCGCTACAAGCGCTACTCATTAGTTTTTGGTCTTAGGTCACTATAGGTTATTAGCCCTTCGCATCATCGCTACCCTTGCATATTTGAAGGGAGTTGCTTCAATAGGCGTCCTCTTGGGTCGAATATTACACTCGCGCCTATTTGGATCAGTAGCGCTAGTTTCTAACCAGCCTAGTCACTATTTCTCTTACACAGCGCATTAGCAGGTCTTCTTTCTCCTCCTACTACCATACCTCGACACCATTACTACTAGTATATAACGTAGAGAACATAGAGTCTAGACTATCGAATAGACATTGAATGTATGTGAAAAATTAAGTTGGTTGTAACGCTGAGGTTGATAACAGACTATACAGAACCATGTCCAAGCGTGCCTGGACTTCACGTTGGATCCAGAGGTGACGAACCATCTGCAAAGTGACACAGGACTGCTGAAGGTAAGTTGTATCATACCATCAAGATCGTTATTGACGAGCACAATATAGGGGATGATGCATTACCACCAGCACTGTATGATGCTGCTGCATGGGACATTCTGACACAATTCCTTACTTCATCTATGTCAATGTCTGAGATGGATGACATGCTTGTATCTTATCTTGGCGATAGATACCATGAAGATGACTGGGTGGAACCTCGACGTCTCTTATTCTCCGGCGATGGAAACGACGCTGAATCTTTGAGGAACCTCAAACTCCTCAAGGTAAAGTACGTGCCTGATTCACCAGAAGATTGTTCCGTGGGTACCTCTGCATCAAGGACCAACGGTTCCTTGTCAAGCTCGCCTGTTCGAAAGTTGCTTATGCGACCAAAAGTAAGTAACAGTCATGGCTGGTAATATTTGTGAACTAAACAGCAATTGTAGGCTACAAATTCTACCTCCAAGATTGGGGAGGAGGAGATGGAGAGTGTAGATGGACACTCACGCATTCGAAAATCGTATAAGCAACCCAAAGTAAGTGAATGTCATGGTGATATTTCTGTGAATTAAACAAATTCAGACTAAGAATTCCTTTATCCTCGATATGGCCAAGGTTGGGGATGATGATGAGGAGGAGGAGGGGGAGGAGGAGGGGGAGGAGGGCTATGGGGATGGCACATCTGTGGGGTCTGTGATGGTTACGCGCTTGGCAAGACCGTTGGCAACACAGAAGTTAGCTGCAACCTTCGACGATATGGCCACTCGGTTTGAGCAGAATCAGCGCTGCTCGTCACAAGGCTGCGAGAATGCCACTCACGGAGTTCCCGAAGCCAGGATGTATCTGGTTCACGTTCAAAGTAGGTTTACTTCTCGATCACGCAGTATATTGCTAATTTTATCGTAGGAACTACCACTGAATATGTCACCTCACACCTTCGAAAGAAAGGATTTCCCGTGACCGTATCAGCTTGGGCAGCTGGCCAGCTGTACGTGGTGGCGGACAGTCCAAAAACAGTCGCAAAGTCCTTGCCCCTCTCACTTTACCTGGCTGTAAAACAGTACACTCTCGTCACGGAGGAAGAACGTGGAGCTGTAGAGCGTTCACAGTCCGAATTTCCTAACCCAGCGTGGGTGAGGGTTAAGAACGGCCCGTACAGGGGCGATACAGCGCTGGTCTTCGAACAGTTACCAAATGGTATCGTCGCGATCTTAATTGTTTCGCGAGACATGCCCTATGCCATGCCTGGCAGAACTCGGGCGTTGGTTGAGCAATCTCGCCTCCCAAAGAACAAGACTGTGTCTGACGTCATTCATGACGATCAAGTGGTAGGGTGGAAGTTTAAAGGTGAAAGCTACTACATGGGGCTCCTTCTGAAAAACTTTTACCGTGACCGACTAGAACTTGTCACATCTCCTCATATCAATGACATTTCAGTTGCACCTGGAGTCCGGATGGGACAGAATCTTCATGAAAGAAACTGTGATAGCATTTTCGATGCAGTTCCTGCGCGTGGGCGATTCAGTCAGGGTTGTCACAGGCTCTCTTCGTGGAGAGCTCGGGAAGGTTGTTTCTACTGACCATACTGTCGGTTCAGTATGCTTGGAATCCGCCTTCGATGGGCATATAACGGAGGTAGAAGTTCCTCTGCAGGACATAGAACACAGTCTTTCGAGTCGGTGATACTGTAAGAATTGTGGCCGGCTCATATTTTGGCCTGGAAGGGCACATCATCCAGATGCGTGAAGATATATGTCATGTTTGTCAATACGGTACCAATGAAGAGGTAAATCTCTATTTTTAATTTTGAACTATCTAATACTCGAGTTGTGCATAGATTGAAGTGTCAAAGTACTACTTAGATGGGCGTCCATTGACTCACACACTTACCTCACGGTTGCCAACACAGCAATATTTTGAGCCCTACGAGTCTGACTCAATCCAAATCGGGGATTATATAGAAGTTCAGGGGGGAAAGCACAAGGGGAGACATGGCATCGTGGACTGGTGTGCTAAGGGGGACACTGATATCTGGTTCAAGGATATTTTCACTTCGAACAACGTAGAATTGTCAAGCATATCAGTTCCTGCTGCAATGGTTCAGCAGATGGATATTACCAAGACAATCCAATATACGAAGGAAAGGGGTTATGACGTCAGACCTGGAGATGTTGTGACAGTCGTCCGTGGGCCAGAGTATGAGGTGAAAGGGGTCGTACAACACGTAGATTTTCCAAATGCTCACTTAACCCTGCTGTGGGAGGGTGCATTCATTCATCTCGACTTGAACTTCATCTCTGACTTGCTATAGATCAAAGTTCCAATTGGATTTGTCATGAAAGTACGCAATGCCTGACTTGGATCATTTTAAGAAAGAAACAGGCAAAGAAGTGTTTATTATTTCGGGCGACCGGAAAGGCTCCCAGGGAATGCTTCATAGTGTCGGCCTCGAGACTTGCATCGTTGCCGTGTATGGGCAGAAGCGCATTGAACTCAAACTCTATGAAGTTGCCACCAGGTGAGTAGCAAATATTTTCGTTGTGATTCAAAGGTTCACGACTTTCAGATATGGAGTGAGGTTAAACAGGGTGATGCTTGAAGGCCCGGATATGACTTCCTTCTGCGAAATGCGGAAAAGATCATTCTTGGCACCGCCACCTTGTAGCATCACCCCACCTGTCGAAACATTACCCTCCAGCTCTTCGGCTTCCATGACAGGTCCCATTCCCTCCTCATCTAACGTGTGGTCCTCCTGGTCTGCACACCCAGGGGGTGTCGATGCAGCGCAAGACCCATTGTTGAGCATCCAACCCAGCTCATCAACACTCCAGCCATGGAGTGTCGATAAAAATGACACCCAGGACAGCAACGACGCTACAGCAGAGAAACTCCGTGACAGTGGTAAGTCCTCATTCGAGTTGTTTTAATCTCTACTTATTTTGTCACAGGTCCATTGCCTTGGTTGAGGGAGTTCTCTTCATTGTTCAGGAAATATCATGCGATGTTGAAGGTGTCGCCGAGCTTTGACGGATCGTTATCCAAGCAATTTGTATCAACCTCTTGTCCTGACCCTTTCTGCGGCGATAATGGACCTGCACCCGAGGATTTTGTAGCAGCATTCTGCACATCAAATGGTGCTGGTGCTGCAATGAAGCACTATCATATCCCTGCCAGATACCTAAGTCCTGCCCCTCCACGGAAGAAAAATCAAGAATGCCTTATTCTAGATGGCCCTCATCGTGGACTTATCCGAACTTTAGTGTCGTGTAGCGCCAAGCACGCTAATGTCAAGATCAATATTATGCCTACGGCCGCTGTTACTCTACGGTTTGACCAGAGATGTCTGGTGGAACCAATACGATCATAGGCTGTACGGTATTATAAACTTTTGGGACATGTCTATGTTGTACCTTACCGTTACCAATACTCAGGCTCTTAGTACATATAATGTGAGGACTCGAGCTTGAGTACTTAATATTAATGTCATTAGCAAATTTTCCTTGACGTCCCTCGGGGATCTTGCAACTGCAGAGCGTGAACTTGTTATGGTGGATTGTGCGTACTGGCTTTTTATTGTATACTGAGAACGTTCTTTCAATAGGCCTGTTTGCGCAATCGTCCTTATCTCGGAAATGGACGGTTGAGACACGAATGTATGGTCTGAAGCTGCCTGTCCCCTATGTGGGAGGTGCCAGTCAGTTGTACAGAGGTGTCGGATAAAGGGGCAAGGTAAGGCAATTCATCACACCTTCGTCAATCTACAGATTCTCACATGTTTTCCGGATAGGCAGAGTTCTGTGCAAAACCTATGTGACTTCCCCTTGTGCGCGATATTCTGGATAAACAGAATGATCTGTGATTTGCATATGGTGTTACAAACTCGGGAAACACATCCAATCTAAGCAGGTAATGGTCCAGATTCTGCAACTATCCTGCCCAGCCAGCTTCAGATGACCATCATCATCCGTGTTGTCTACCTCGACGGATTTGCCATTCATAGTGTAGATTCTGATAGATGGTCGGTCCAGAAGATAAGAAATGTTGTGACCCAGAATTTCAGAGATTGCCTGGCTTGGTAGCTTTGGGGCCGTATAAGATCTCACAAAGCAAAACGATTGCGACAGTACTGATGCTACAATCAGGATGAAGTAAGTGCAGGATGAAAACGTGAAGAAATACTGTCTATTTGCAGAGACGATGCTAATATAGTATTTCCTGAGTTGCTACTGTAAACACAATACACTGGCAAGGACTCACCTTTGGTCGGCTTTTGTACACTACACTGAGTTCAGAGCGATGTCAATTGAGTCACATATGTGAATAGATACTACATGATGGTTACACTGGTAGCAAGACAGTCACTGGGAATTACAATATTAGCACAGTCTTGTCTTTCGTTTGCTTCTGCAAATAGACACAATGTGTCTCTTCGTGTTCTCACTCTCGATAGTGCTGTGTACAATTGACTGTGAGCAAATGGATCCATTCACAAGTTGAGCACCGTTTTTCCTAGTGTCAGTCCTTGAAAACCATTAGTAAAAGTAGTTGCATATGTGAGTCATAGAGATCGATTAAATGTACTAGTACTAGTAGTAGTTGCGTACATAGATTATCAAAAAAAATATGAAATATGTACATTGAAACTACAAAATACTCAAGCTTGCTGTGGACCACAGCGAGCTCAAAGGTCTCAGCAACGTGCGGCACTGACTCGGAAAACAGCCATGTGATTATTATTAAGAGTCTATTGTCGACTTACATAATTGTGGCGACATACATACATGTGGACTACATCTGGCTATTTTGGGCAGTGCCAGCAGAGTCTGATTCTCAATAGTCAGTCAGTATATAAACCCTTCTCGCTCGTCCTGACACTTCTTTCTCACTTTGTTTCCTCCCACCTGAACATAGCTGTAGCCTTACTAGCAGTATTACTATTACTGTAGTTGTAGCCTTACTATACACTTAACGCTAGGGACTTGTATAGTTTTTCATTGAAGCTCAAATTTTCTCACAAGTCCAAAGATGTAGTGCATCTACGAACTTCAAATCACAGCCTCAGTACCTCGTGCATGACGTGTTCATACACATCATATGCTGCAACACAGGTCACATCTGTGACTTCAGCTGATGTAATCTGAATGAGCTGGCACTTGACTTAGTGCTGTAAGTGTCATAATACTACCAGAAAACTACCGGCAATACTCACATCCCAAATTAGTTTACAAATCCGCCTTACATGAGCGGGAGGTGCATCAGAATCGGTGAGAATGCCCTTACGCCCAGCATGATCAACATCTCTGACGTCATATTGACTTAGACCAATCAAGCTTGGATGGCTTATTGGGGTCAGTATAATAATCTCAGCATATCTTAAGTCATTAGCTAATTTTGTGCAATGTGAGATATGCGAGGGCACAAGTTCGAGATAAAGTCCTTCATATTTCAACATGACTATCATAGTCTTATGATGGTGCGTTTTTTTTACTACAACTTCAAATTATTCAAGTTCATAACTAATGTTAATATGATCAGTCATACGACAAAAGTGTGTAGGACGGTCAATCTTCGCAGGAGATATTAGCCTGTGCATTTGTGTTCAACTTTGAACACCTACCTCTATGAGGATAGTACATCGCAGGTACGCAGGCTCGACCAAAGAACTTCTCGATATTTACTAAATGAAAGATCAGCCCTTTAAACTTTCGATAAAGGGAAATGGACAGACACATATATCCACAACCGCCACTCGCACATTCAGCAACGTATTGCCCTTCACACACACCCCTTGTTTGCTGAAATATCGACACTTCGACGTATCTTCCTCCCCTGGCGCAAAGGCAACATGGGTAGCGGAATACATGCACATCGCGATAAGCCTTGAATTTCGAGGGGTGAATCTTGCGCCCTTGTCGGGTGGTTGGCCTGTAGTTGAAATGTGTGAGTGAGCGAAGTTATTCTTTCTGTGAGAACAACTAACCATTGAAATGTTGTCAGTTCTCCTGTTTGGCCATGGTAATGAAGTATACCATGGCGTGCAGTTAAAATTGTGACAAGCATTTTCACAACCTTATGGTCGGCCACAAATTCCGTTCCTTCGAGGCTCGAGTGTGCAGGAGAAGATGGGAAGGACATTTTGGGGCACACAGGGTGTCCTGTGTGCATCCAAGAAGTGTAAATATCCCCTCCTTGCATTCGCATCAGCCGAGCGCCATCATGTTCCTGGCTATATATGGCAGCAATGGGATCTTTGCAACCCTCACTGGCTACCACTGTGCCATAGCCCGATCTACTTTCGGGAGCGCATCAACCGGGCTGCATAATGCTGCAGCACCATCGTGTTCCTGGTCATATACGGCATCTATGTAATCATCACAATCTTTGGCAGCTATCACCACACCATAGCACCAGGGATGCTTTATTTAATTAACCAAACTCTTGTCGCTGCAGAGCAAGTGGTTTCACACTCCCGCATGTCAGTGTCTGCTTATACTTGTGTGTGCAAGCACTCTTTCACTGCCCAAAACTACTACAGCCAACACCAGGCACTCGTGTACTCACACAAAAAGCATCTGTCGTTGGCGATATCGTCCTTCAAGGACTTCGTGAGTCACAGGAAGAAGCCGCGGATCTACAAGGATGGGACCGTCCCTGCTGGTGAAGCCAATGCTTTGCCAGACATACCTCATCTCGAAGTGTCGACGTCACTGGCCGGCCCATCACTCCCTCCCACAGAGTCGCTCCCTCCCACAGAGTCACCCCCTCCCACAGAGCCGCCAAGTCATGATGACGTCGAAGATGGGAACATTGACGAGAGAGAGGACATGAGTTTAGCCCAGTGCAGACCGAGACAGCCAGAACCGGCAGCTACCTAAGAGATTTCGGGATATACTTCCCCAGCCTCCACCTGCCGTTCCTGTTGAACTCGCTCATCAACTTGCGGAATCTGTGGGTCATCTCAGCATGCCAGCCCGCCCGGCCTTACCCATGCATACGGTGTTTTGCACTCCCCCAAACATATTCAGACTAGTTCGCCAATATTTCTCCTTGAAACCACCCTCCCACGATCCGGAACAGTACGTGACGATGGCAGACCTCTCTTTCATACCTGGGACCCCTCAAGTTGATGAAGCACCCAAGGATCTCCCTCGCAGCAGTCATCTCTATCACCCATATCCCAATTGATCCTCCTTCCAGCTTGGTGACTGGTATTGGAATAAGGGAGTACAAAAGTCGCAAGGCGACTATAAGAAACTATTGGGGATTGTGGGCGATGAATCCTTTAATGCTGCCGATGTGAGCTCCATGAAGTGGAAGAATATAAACACTATCCTCGGTGCGAATGAGTATGATGAGGGAGACGAAGAAGAATGGGAGGATGAAGATGCTGGATGGCATAGAAGCTCGATCTCCATCAAGGTGCCTTTGTCACGCACCACTGAAATCCCAGGCACTCGTGTCTATGAAGCGGCCGCTCATCTGTACCATCGCTCTCTTGTTGCCGTGATATGGGAAAAGCTTGCCAATCCCCAAGATGACATGCTATTTCACTACGAGCCATACCAGCTGCGTTGGGTCCCTCCCCATCTGGATGCCGAAGTCACCTTATATGGTGACCTGTACACCTCCCCCGCCTTCCATGAGGCCCATACTGCACTGCAAGAATTACCGGGGGAACCTGACTGCGACTTACCCCGAGTCGTAGCTGGCCTTATGTTTTGGTCTGACACTACTCAGCTTACTTCCTTTGGTAATTCTAAGTTGTGGCCAACATATATGTACTTTGGCAACGAGTCGAAGTACCGGTGTTGTAAGCCATCATGCCATTTAAGCAATCATGTGGCGTATTTCGAGATGGTATGTCATTTCACAGTGTGGGCTCGACTACATGACCTGATATCGTGTTACCAGCTCCCAGACTCATTCAAAGATTTCACGGGTAGCAGTGGCATGCCTAGCGATTGTTTGACGCACTGTCATAGAGAATTTTTTCACGAGCAGTGGAAAATTTTGCTTGACGACGAGTTCCTCGAGGCATATAAGCATGGCATTGTGATCTGCTGCTGCGATGGCATAAAGCGCAGATTCTACCCTGAGGATATTTACTTATTCAGCTGATTATCCTGAAAAGTGAGTGAATGCAGCGTGCGATGAACATCATTAATTTCATCTCATCAGAGTACTTATAGCTACAGTTTGAAACCTAGGAGGATGTCCATGTCCTCGCTGCCTTATCATGAAGGATTGGATTCAGAATATGGGAATGCCTCAGGATAGGCAACAACACACGACTCTGGAACGTGACGATGCAAGAAGACGAGTGTCATATACCATATTCCTGGGTACAGATCTGAAGATCCGGATCTCAGATCCGATCCAGATCCGATGGACATATCCGTCGTCCGGTCCACAGATCCGATCTAATCCTTGTTTCATGTCCTGTTCATATAACTCTAACTATTGTTCATCTCCTTTCAGGCATTCCTGTACACCGGTATACCAGTTATCCTTTACTTCCATTATGCTTACTGATCCTGCTACACTTACTGATCCGCTTTAGCTTAGACTTCATTCCCAGTTATGATACATTATCCGTCCGACTTACCAATATGCTGTACACATACTTTGCTTATACTTCGTACATAGCCTCGCACCTTTGCGGCAAAAGCAAAGGGAGTGCAGAAGGGCAAAGACACTGCTCACCTTGGTCGACCAGGGGTCTTGGTTGAGTCAGAGATAGCTGTCAAGAAAGTACTGTGCAAAAAGCTGTTCAATTTTCAGACTTACAAATTCCATGCCTTGGGAGACTACGTATTGACTATCAAGCGGTATGGCACATGCGATTCGTACAGCACAGAACCGGTCTGTCCCTCACCATACCTGTACTTCCCTTGCTAACTTCACCAGGGTGAACTCGAACACCGTTTACCCAAGGCTAGATATCTCCGTACCGATCGCAAGACCTTTGTAAAGCAGTTGACTCAGATTGAACGCCGGCAGGTTCGTATTTGTCGGATAGGCGACAGAATTATTCATCGCCCCCACATTTAAATCACGGAATCAGCAAGAAACCCGCATGTTCACCATCACATTGGCATGACGCAAAAGTATCCTGTTAAGACCGTGCTCAAGTAGTATCGGATCCGAAGGGCTTCGGCCTCAGCTCGTGCGCTGTGCCCCTTTCCCGAGTCTTGCCCCTTATTTCAGAGTGCTAGAGTATCATGTATATTGAGATGGATAAGTCTCGTAACGGATCCGTTAGGGCTTCTGGATATCGAACATATATAGTAACGGCTAATCCGGATCGGATCCGAACTAGAAACTAACGGGCGAGGACTGTCCGAAGACAGAGATGGATATATAGACTATAGGAATCAATCCTAAGTCTCGGAGTTGACAAGAGTATCATACTCAAGTTCGGACGGGTAATGGAGGGACTTAGAGTCCAGACAGAATGAGTGCAATCTAAGATGATATTCGAACTGATCTACTACAGCGCATGTACAAGGGTTTATATACTACAGATAACTAACGGAATGATCAATAAGCAAAGGTGCGAGGCTATGTACGAAGTATAAGCAAAGTATGTGTACAGCATATTGGTAAGTCGGACGGATAATGTATCATAACCGGGAATGAAGTCTAAGCTAAAGCGGATCAGTAAGCATAATGGAAGTAAAGGATAACCGGTATACCGGTGTACAGGAATGCCGAAAGGAGATGAACAACAGTTAGAGTTATATGAACAGGACATGAAACAAGGATTAGATCGGATCTGTGGACCGGACAACGGATATGTCCATCGGATCTGGATCGGATCTGAGATCTGGATCTTCGGATCTGTACCCGGGAATATGGTATATGACACACCTGTGACTCCCACGTATTGCCTCTAATTAGATGTGATTATAGATAGGGCTAGCACGTCTAAAATGACAGAGTTCCAGCGTTTCCAAGCCTCCTTCAATAACTCTTGGATGACCTTCAATAACTCTTGGATAAAGAGTGACTTTTAATAACAGTAGTTCTAGGTAACTAAGCGGGACGTCGGCATTAATGTTCCTGGCTTCGGCTATCATGCTCCCGCCATGTGAACCTTCGTGCCCACTGTCGTACATGATGAGCTCCTTAAACCATGCATATTGACAGCGCGTTTTTACACATTGGTGGCGCGTTTTTTACAGTGACAGCTACTAATCATTCAGATATGTACAGATCCTCAGAATATACATAAAAGAGTAGCAGGGTGTACTACTCGCCCTTGTCCTCTTCCTCATCAGACGACTCAATGAACTCCGCACTTTTAGGAGCCTCACGATGCTGGGCACTAGTATTCTTTTTCACCTTCTTTGACGGCCTTCTGTTCTCTTTGTGTGCCTGTCCTGTGGTAGGTGGAGCCTTGCACTTGCGAGTGATTCCAGCGTCGGAGCGCTTCTTGTGTGGCTGCCGAACAACTTGCCCCGCCGAACGGCGCACATCAAGTTCAGCACTGTGAACCTTGACTTCGGTTGGAGTGAGAGCAGCCCAGTAACATGTTCGGTCCTTGAGCGCATCACGGAGCTTGCGAATTTCACCGACTGTCCCGATGTTTGAGGGACTGGTAAATTTGACACCCTGGGGCCATCCTACTAGCTTGACCGCATATGTTTTGATAATTGCCGTCTCGTAGTTGTTGTAGTTCATTGTGATGTCTCTTTTGCCAGTCATTGCAACTGTAAAGATGTCAGACAGCACTAATGCACACTACTGTCACATACCCAGTCCTCGGACAATCAATTTTCGAGCTTGCTTGCGGACCGTTTCCAAAGAGTCTCGTTCATTGAGATCTGAAAAAGACTGAATAAGAATAAGATATCACTGTGAGGAGCCAGATGACTTACTTTGATTCTGCGTGCAGGCCCATTGTTCGTATTGTCGGAGAAAATCGGCCATTGGAGAGTCGTAAATGTCCTCCCAGAAGTCTTCAGAATTGTCAGTACCGTGCATTGTGCTTTGAATGGTGTCATTAATGTGACCCCGAACGACAAATAGAGTCCCATAGGTGCCTGTGTGAATACGCAAATCATCGAGCTTCGAAGTGAAAATAAGTTCAGTAGAATACATGTGACAGGTGGAGAGCTCACCTCCTTGACCACCCTTTCCGTCGTGACTAAAACATCTCGTGCAGTAGCCATGTTATTTGCTCGCACGCTACTTACCTTTTGTTCACGGTGTTGACTGAGAGCAGCTATATAAGTGGCCTTTTCACCCTTTGTCAAATCTTGCATCTGGGGTCCTGAGCAACCATCTTGCGCAGCTCGACCAATGTGTACCGAAGGCCATTAGGCTGGCCTTGTTGCAACAGAATATAAGTATGAGAACAAGAGCAAGCAAAGGAATTTTGCGTACCGCTGTTCATTTCCTTAGCTTTGGCATGAATTAAGGCGTTATTGAGGTGAACCTTGTGCGCCGTGCAATACTTGGTCGGATGACTGATTATGTCGTTGATCTGTTTGGGAGTAACATTGTGAGCGAGTGAGAGCAATTCAACTCCGTTTTTCTGTTCTTGCAGATGTTTGGCAACAGCATCATGTAAATGCTTCGTAATTTCTGTCCTCTGGTCTTTCTTGATTTTCCGAGAGGCCTTCTGGGCATCTGATAGCCGAGGCGGTGGGGTCCGGCGATGGATCATGGGACGTGTCGGGTTTCGCGCTGCCCAGGTGGACGAATTTGCATCACGGAGGGGCTCTGACAATGACTCTTCACCACCAGGTGACGATGCGCGAGAGGAAGGTGTGAGTTCACGTGCGTCAGGTGAAAAATGAGAGATGACGGGAGTAGGAGGCTGTGGAAGGGCCGGGCCATCATTGAGGAATGCTAACTCATCACTTGTCAGCGGCATCGAGTATAATGATGGGTCCTCCCAATTGATACCGTGCCAAAGTTGGGGTGTATGGCTTGATCCTGTTTTTTTCAAAGGTCAATACAAAGAGTGGGAGATGCACATAAATAACACTGCACCTTCATTTTCATTGAGCAACCCTGCGAGATATTCAGGTCCTCCGCCATTGATGAAATTTCCATTGGTATTAAAGTCATCTTCAGAGAAAATGTAGCTCATAGTTGTCTGTGTGGGTAGGAGGGAGTGTCGTTGTGGGGATGCGATTAAAAAACAATATGCTTGCTTCAGGAACCTGAAAAGCATACCTATGGGATTGATGACGCCACGGCAGTCAGATCATTGAAACCCTACAAAAAAGCATATCAGAGTCAATAATAGAACAACTTGAATAGAAAAAAGATGCTTGCCTTGAGAACCTAAGAATCACGCCAATGGAGTAGGACGAGGTCTGGAACATTCAGACGGGGTTGTTGTCAGCTTCCTCGGTTGCACAGCGGCAACTTTGTAATTTCGGAAGGAAGTTTTCTGATGGGGGACATCTCTGCTGGGATGACCTTGTCGCAATCCCTTGATCCAACTTGAATGCCGATGGTGTATAACATTGATTGGGGGCGATAACACACATCTCTGCTGGGATGACCTTGTCACAATCCCTTGATCCAACTTGAATACCAATGGTGTATAATGTTGATTGGGAGCGATAACACACATCTCTGCTGGGATGACCTTGTCGCAATCCCTTGGTCCAACTTGTATACCAGTAGTGTATAACGTTGATCAAGGGCGATAATGCACATCTCTGCTGGGATGACCTTGTCGCGATCCTGACTTGAATCCTGATGGTGTTCGGTCCCGGATAGTTCCGCGTATGACATTGATTCAATGGGGGTGATCGCTGTCTCATTAACATTCTACATAATGTACGACGGGGGAATCCCAAGGTAAGGGCATTAATATCAGATCAAGGAAAATCTCATGAACCGTTTTTTTCCCCTCAAATCTATGGTAAGTCTCGATTTTGGGACTCACAGTCTGCTCACAGTTGTATAATATTCACATACATTCTAAGGCTAATCCTGCTGTTACTCTGAGCAGGCAGTGCGTGGCTACCAAGTGTTGGCTTGAGAAGCCAGGGTAAGCTTTCGCCTTTGACTGACACTGAGATTGTACTTCCCTGCTATTTCAGAGTTCGAGACACGCAAAATGCAAAGGCATGCGTTCGGATGGCGAGGTCAGTCCGGCTCTCATTCTCAAATCAAAATTTCGTGCTTAAATACATTTTTTCAGCAAGCGGGCCAGGTCAAATCACTTTTGTTTATTCCGTCTCTTACTCTTGCTGACTGCACTCATAGCCTTAAAAAAATACATGCCCCTGCAGAGCCAACTATACACATCCCTTTGGTCAGTTTGCCCATGCTCGACGGTCTCAATTCTCGCGATATCACTCCTGAGGTCGATGATGGATCTCTACTGACTATGGAGAATGACTTTCCCTGTTCCTGCGACACACCAACCCTGCAAGACATTGAGAACATGGCCAACCAGTGGCAAAAGGGATGGGCCCGGAAGTCTGAACATGCATGGGATGATGCGTATGAAAACCTACTCAAAGGTGCGCAAAAGAAGGGAGGACTAGAGACTATCATTTTTCTTGACGAATGTGGTGCGCATGCTTGTGAGGGGAGGGGACTTCTTGAATGTGTGCAAAACATTGTACATACCAGCTGCCCATATTTCAGGGAGCGCCTCAAACATGATATTATTCTACTGCATGATTTGCTCATTTGTATTGTTTTGGAGGTCAAATTCTTCGAAGTTAAGGTAGCTAACAGTAAAAATAAGTAGTTTGACTATATGATATGTCGAGCGATTATAGTGAATCCATAGCGAATTGATATCGAACACATAGCGAATTGATGGTGAACACATACCAGAATCCTTACATTATAGCGAACACATAGTGAATTGATATTGAACGCATGGCGAATTGATGGCGAACACATAGCGAATGTCATTGTATCTCTAGCATGTTGCACTACCATAGAATTCTAAACCACCAACTGTGTCCAAGGTTAGGTCATCTGTTACACTGAATGTGTGGTGAGTGCAGTGGACCTCGATTTAGGACTATGACTCTTGTATATCACTGGCTAATTGGTAATTACACTTGCAGGATACATGCAGACTATTAAGGTAATGCAACTATGCAGTCCAATGTCGTTCAATCACAGTTGCACATCTGCATCAATTTTGTAATCACGCATAGTAGCTAGCACATTTTGTGATCCGAGCATAAAGATTCCATTGCTAAGGAATTACAAGCAAGTCATGTATATGTACATGGCTGAGATAGTGAACTACTACGAAGGTATCTAAAGTTCATAGTGTGTCATTGTCTCCGATAAGTCGTCTACCTGCGACCACAAGTCATCCGAGTCAGCGGACCAAGAGGGGGAAGGTGGGGATGCAGGCAGCCAGAAAGGGCCACCCGGGGTTGGTACTGCTCGTACTCTACCTTCGTTATATTGTACTGTATATACCTCGAGTGCCTTCTGGAACGAGGGGTACCACTTCTGAACGTTACCGCTCACAAAGTTGGTGCGTTCAGCCACATCAGCCCTGATATGAGTGTCAATATTATTATAAGTGAGGTCGACAACGCTTACCAGTGATAGAAGATGCCTACTTCTTGGCCGACAGTAATTAACCAGAACCCTTCAGGTTCTAAACCAGCATGTGGAGGTGCGATATCGCTAGGTTTTGGTACCTGCATTGGAAGAAGTGCGACATTCTGTAGAATGTTGCGCATGTGATGATGAACTCGAAGGCGGCAGATGGTCTTGTGCGTGGGAGCTAGTAGATAGATCGGAGTTTGGGATGGTTTGATTGACATGTGAGGAGTTGGTGTGTGATGCTTTGTAAAGGGTGATACTCTCTTCAACAGTCTTGCGCTTCCAGCTAATAGTATCCAATGATGAACCTGTTTGAGAGCGTGAGCATGTGGGTGATTGTCAGATGATATAGACCTGCGACCCACCTGATATGGTTAAGCTTCAACCAACTGACAGAAGTCCCGGACATGATCATCATGGCAAGAAACGACAGATGGTGAGGGAGTGCGTGACATGGTGGATATAAGACACTTAAGGAAACAGTTAATTGAACGAGGGGGAATTGATGGAAATGTGCATAATGATGTTATGATTAGTCACACACAGCTCAATGTGCAAAAAAATGTACCCATAGCTGGCTTTGTATGAAGAAAAAAAATGCGGAATCCAGGAGGACGTCAGACACAACGAGTTTGCACTAACCTGTCTTTGCAGTCCTATCCGCCACATAGGCTTCCTCCGCGAGATAAGGGATGGGCTTCCCACTACCCGTAGTATCGAAGGTGATCAAAAATAGAGTGTGCTGGTTCTGCAAGCAGGCCAGCTGTAAACAGCGGTGGGAGACTCGCCTACAGGGTAAAGGCCTGGTCCAACGTGCTCAAAAAACAACAGAACACTAACCTGGTTTTATAGGCAATGACAACCGGAGGAGCAACCAATCTCTGGAAGCTCTCAGGAGACTCAACGACTAATAACCACCCTAACATTGCTGAGGACCTCCGATGATTTCAATCTAGCGGCAACATCTGGGATGGTACTGACGCACTCCCCATTAGCCACACCAGCAGAGAGTTCAGAGACCTGGCGAGAGGTGTTCTGGGTGAGGTCTGGAAATTGTGAGTGCATGTTAGCAGATAGTCAGAAACTGACACACACATCAGAAAGGATCAAGATGGTGCTCACAGGGTTCAACGTGTCGACAATCGCACATGGCGTGATCGTGTTCTGCGAAGAAATCTCACTTTCAACGAGCAAATACAAATAATGAGCGAATCATACCTTATATGGAGCCTGGAGAAATCGCAAAAGGGCTTCAAGAGTTTTTATGATCGCCTACGCAGCGAAGAGACTGAGGTGACTGATTTGAATGGTGGCCAATGGCCAGTGACAGTAGTAGACGCGTTCTGTGAGTTACTTGCTAGTTTCGGTGTTTGTGTTTATCACATCATTTGTTAAAGTTGCTGAGAAATTTGTACTGAAAATATCATCGACGGACCATACAATTGCTTCTGCACTTGTTTGTCAAGGCGTCATGCCCTGCTCCCCGATATCACCGGTGGCGGGCATAACATTAGAAGCCCTTGAGTTATATCGGGTGGCACACCTCAGGAACCCTCACTTGTCAATCCAAGCCTTCGTCAAAATGATATGTGATTTACATGGGGTACGATTTTAAGTTCTATTGTGCTCCATGCTAAACACATACACATACTACAGGTGGAATTCCATCGGCACATCTCACGTCAATTTTCAATTGCACTTGACATATATCTTCAAATCAGACGGGTTGTGGCCTCGCTCATCAACGAATCCCTCCAACACGACTCGCCTGACTGGCGCCTCAAACACGCATGCCCTGCATGCACTTACACACTAACTGACGAAGAGAAGCTACACTTCAAGATTCTCTATGCTATGGACGGGAACGACTCATTGAAATGAATTCTGCGACGCTCGCTTTATGACGACAATGACTCTCTTGGTCTATCGTCCGAACTTCCCACTGGCCAGATACTCATTAGTGACCGTTACCTATCTCATAACTTTGTAGAGCAGTTTGCACAGGATATGCCATGTGATACGGGAGCCAATGTGAGTAATTGATGTGTACCTTTTGTAGAGACAACTAACACAGTCAGAGTCCGGCAGAGAACTCATGCAAAGGCCGGTGGAAAAATATGGACGATGCGAAGACAAAAAAAGCTTGGGGTATTTATGACGAAACTGGTGTCTTCGTCGCCGTATGCTGCCATGGCTTTTGTTTACTTATTGCAGACATGGTGCAGAGCGGGGAGCGGTGAGTAGTACTTAGTCTTTTTGTTTTATATTTCTAACAGGTATTCTAACAGTGCAAAATACCCCTTGGCTATTGTTGCCAAGCTGCTAGATGCATTTGGCGATGATTTGGGCGGTGGCTATGACATCGGCTGTCAGTTTCAGACTACTCTCGACAACAGCTCTCTTGGTCCCCTGGTGCGCTCATTATGTCATAGTTGCCTGGTTGGTGCGTTTCACGGACATGTGCACAGGCAGTTATGTCAGCTTTTTTCATTATCAAAGGCATTGGTATCGAAGATCTGGAGACTTGTGAGCGGACGTTCTCCAAGTCAAACTCCCTTGCATCGGCTCTACGGTATACTAGCATTTTCCATCGTCAACAGGCTATCGATTCATATTTCAAGCATAACGACGAGCTTGAGGTATATGGCAATCTTTGTACGTTGTTCTGTTTATCATAAGCGCTCGCTGACATAACTATTGGTTGGCTAGCAAATTTCTTGCATGGTAACTACAAACAAGCTCTCGAGATCATCGCCAATGGCGAAGCTGTCCTACCGAAGGTTATGCAAGAGCTCAAAGTCGAAGACGAGAGCGTCTTTGAATGTTTGCTCGAAGACAAGAAAATCTACCTTAAGGGTCTAACACGAGAGCCTGAAGAAGAGACGCTTCAAATGGAGTACTGGCAGAGATTAGTCAATCTTAGTGCAAGCAAGTAAGTTTTACTTTTGGTGTATGTATCTCGTAGTTACTGAAGCCCCCGAAAAACAGAGTTGCTCTTGACACAGGAATGAACATGTTCGGAATGCACAATACTCCATCATATGGCGCAGACATTGGAAACACACACAAGGTTGAAAGCACGCGGCGCCACGCTCTCGAGGACTATGAGAGAAACCTGAAGTTGGTTCAGTTATTAGAATGCAAACTCGGTATCATCGCTCGCTGGGTTCCAGAAGATGAAGAATGGCAGAAGGCAGGGAGACTCGTAGCTAATAGAAAGTATCAACGTGCCTTGGACCGTTTGGAAGGTTTGGTCGTGGCTCGCATTTTCGAACTTGCGAAGATGAATAGGGCGGGGACAGGTGAGTTTGAGTCTAGTTTGGCTTGTTTCAGCTAACTCTATCTATGTTTCAAGGTTACAAACTGCGAAAACATATTGCGAGGGCCTTGCAGACACGCTCTGCCACCATCAGGTCCACCCTCAACACATACAACAACCTTGCCAGTGCAGTGTACCCTCCCCGGCAAATACTCAAGTGGGAGGATGTTGTCGAGTACGCCTTTCTCGCTGACTTCGAGCTGCTACGAAAGACGCACTCCGATGTCTCTCAATTACCTTGGTCATCACCAGCAGCTCGGAGTGGGATGGATCTTTATTTTAAAATGTGTCGAGCACGCGAGGAGATTTGTCGTCTGAATATTGAGGTTTGCCGTCTAGTGACATATATACGAGATGAAGACAAGTATTTGCGGGTGTGCGAAGACCGACTCACAGTTGCTAACCCTGCCCTTGCCCATCAAATCACTATACATCGGAACATTCATGGCCGGTTCAACTCCCGCCATATCAAGCGGCTCGATGATATCTCAAAGCTTCCCGGCTTCAATGGTACACTCGTCCATGGTCTAAGTGCTTGCACCGGTATCGGGGAGAGTGCCAGCATGCCAGATCCTCTGATTCCCGCCAACGTGTTTGCTGCCCATATACCTGCACACAACCCTTCATCCCCTATAGGTGCAGATACTCAAGAGGATTTAGATGAGGAGGAGATCGCAGAGGAGGTCACAGAAGAAGCCTCGAGGAGTTTGCAGGACATTATCACCATCACCGCTGACTTCTCACAGCTCCAGGTTGTTGACAATGGTGAAGTAGAGGAGTAGTCTAGTTTATCTGTCATACTGTTGCAATGCACTTCTTTTATTATGCTTACTGTTAAGTATCAAAACGCGCCTCCAATATGTTTGATTTATCGAGCTCGTCGTGTATGACAGCGAGCACGAAGGTTCACACGGCAGGCGCAAGATAGCCGATGCCAGGAACATTACCTACATTAACGCCGACGTCCCACGCTGGCTTACCTAGCTAGGCCACATTTCAAGTTGCTTGCTGTTATCATAAGTCACTCTTTATCCAAGAGTTATTGAAGGAGGCTTGGAAACGCTGGAACTCTGTTGTTTTAGACGTGCTAGCCCTATCTATAATCATGTCTAATTAGAGGCAATACGTGGGAGTAACAGTTGATATGACCTGAACTTTGAATTTTAATCATCTGATTGACAGAATGACATGTCATGGCCGCACAACATCCGCAGAACGTCTCTATATTCGGCAAGTCTCCTTACTGGGGGTGTCCGAAACACCGATGGCATCGACTGCATGATTTAGTGCAGTACGATTTGGATCGGTTTTCGTCATGGTTGCATATTTATCTTTTGACATCATGGCTCGATGACCGAGGTAGCGAGGATGCGTCTAGGAGGCAAGTGTTCTCTGGACGGAAGACTCTGGAGGAAGATTGCGACGTGTTGGATTCCGCGTCGAGCGGCACGCGGTGGCGACCTAGATGGTATCTGTTTGTGGTGATTTTCCAATTTATATTGGTGCATTTCCGACTTTTCTGGTGGCGTGCCAACAAATTTTCACCCTCTTATCAACCTTGGATGAGTTGTTATGCTCCCCTGGCCAATCACGCTTTGCACACACTTTCTTCTTCTTCTGACCAGCTGCATATAGCAAATGTTCCGACAACCTCAATGATAGATGCAGTGAGTATTTTGCTGCTTCGATGCCTGCAGTTCCCGCGGAAACAATTCGCGTCCGCGCCAACATGTGGGCAGATGACATTGATATATGATTAGCTATCTGGTGTCAACATCAGGAAAGAAGTAAGAACGTATTTCTTCCCCGACGACTCCGTGAATACCAACACAAAATCATTAATCAATTCTTGTTGCATCACTATGTGAATCAAGTCCCCCCGTGCTCATGACAATATTGAGGTCACTTCAAGCATCCGATGGGATAAACTTATTGGCACAGGGAGGTATTTGTTAGGGGGTTTTAACTTATAGTTTGGCAGGCTCAACAGTGCCAAGGTATCACGATCTCCAGTCACCTCCATTGTCATGATGATTAGGAACATTCATCCGTTACTATGAGGTCTCTCGTGGTCCCTGTCGAGTGCCTTGGACACACACTGCCAAAAAAAATGATAAAACCAAAGGGCCCAACCGGGAATTGAACCCGGACACCCAGCTTCAACAACCTTGTGTTGGGGATTGCTCCCGAAGCGGGTATCATACTACTAGACCATTGGGCCTTGAAGAGGTATCGCCATTGACTTTATAATCACAGGGAACCCGAACCACGATCGTGTATGCACATTTGCAGATCGACAACAAGCAAATATATCGGCCGACCCTCGAGCTCACACCGATCATTAGGGTATCTTCTGAGTTCATTCCCGGACAACCGGTGCACACCGTACCCTTCTTCCTATCTCTCGAGCGAGGACTCGGACGACATGGCAACTTGAAGCAGCTCAGACTGGAACCTTTCAATCATAAGATCCGCGGTGCACGAGAGGAGGATGCGTACGAGGACCTATTCCTAAATCCCAGTGTCTGGACACGACAAGCCACCACCGTAACAACTGAATGACAGGACACATGATGGGACGAGCAGTCGTTACATAATATAACCCATGGCCACACACTTACAAGACACGCATGGTCAAGGGCTCGCCATTGCAAGGTAGTTTTGACTAGAGGTTCCTAGCAGTCTGTGTAATCATCGTCCATCGTCCACAACAAGCCGACCGTCGCGACTCGAGGAGAACGACAATCAATATTCTTTCTCAACTGGGGAGCTCATCCGAGTCGATATCGCTCAGTCACTGCTAAAGCTAAAAGTAAAGTTTTGTGCATGACAGAAGTCAGCGGTAGAAGACGCAGGCGGAACGTAGTCGATCAATCCAGTGTACTGGAACACAAGGAAGCGCAGACGATGACGTTGGAAGAGTAAGAGGTAACACTGGACCGGGATATAAATGATATCACATTGACGAGTTCAACATTAAATACTATAACAGCAATGAATCTGATCCATTAATGCACCAGCCATAGCATAAATGAGTGTTCTGAATACTGTATGTGATGGTTGCGAAGCCTATTTACATCTAGTGTCACATCTATATAGCATCCCGTTGTCGACTCCGCGTCCCGCACCTGTTGCACGGTACCAAGTTACAAAGACAGCTTAAAGTTTTTTGATGATAGCATTGGTGAATTCCGATGTCGTTGCACCACCTGCAGATGAACAGTGAAAACGAGTCTCGACAAATCACGGGGAATTACTCACCACCCATGTCTGCAGTCCTGACCTCTCCGGCGTTGATGACATCGAAGGTCGCGCTTGCAATACTGTTGGCGATGGAGTCGAGACTGGGGAGGAGAGTGTAAGAAATATGAGAACAAGGCCATGCCGGACAACATACCCAAGATGTCTACATCATGGTAGCACTCAAAACCATAGCGGTAGGGTTGGCACGGTTGGTGCCCATGATGTCTGATGCAACGTGTCTACATCCGGGCTCGAAGAGGGCATAGTCCTGAATATATATCAGTACCCAGCAGGTCTAAATGCAAGTGTGCGACATACACGGCGATGTTGCATCCTGGAACGATACCAGGACCGCCGACAAGTGCGGCGCCAATGTTGGAAATGATGGCACCATACAAGTTTGGGCATGACCATGACATCGAACTGACCAGTTTGGCAACCAGTTGCATGGATCTAGGTGGTATTAGCCGGCTGGAGCGGAAAAGGGAGAGACACCTCACGTGTTATCGATAATCATATCATTAGACACGATTCCTAGAGATTTGTACTCCTCCGCAATTCGACGGAAGGTGTTCAAGAACAGACCATCACCGAGCTTCATGATGTTGGCCTTGTGCACACAAGTCACTTTCTACAAATGAGCGCTTGTCAGTACAGCACCGGCCGGATTTGAGGTCATGACCGACCTTGCGGTTGTTCTTGAGGGCAAAGTCAAAAGCAAAGCGCGCAATACGCTCCGCCTTGGCCCTTGTGGAGACCTTCAAACTCTCCACTACACCAGGATAACTCTGGTGCTCCAAACCAGAGTATTCACCCTCGGTGTTTTCACGGATGATAGCAAAGTCGACGTTGGAGTGGCGTGTGGGGAATCCAGGGAGAGACTTGCACATCACAACCGATGCGTAAATGTCGAGCTGTTGACGCATGGCCACGTTCCATGAGATATGGCCGGTTTGAGAGATTGGCGTGAAGAGAATACCTATGACGACAAAGATGAATGTTAGTTCTGTGACTCAGTGGGAAAAATACTTACCCTTGAGACCGACTCTGTTGCGCTTGAGACTTTCCATTGCCTGCTTGAAGAGATCCTCCCCCGCTGAAGATACACCGGAGACATCATACTGCTCCCACTCGATGGGCGCGTTTACGTGCTCGAATATCTCTTTGACAGAGTCTGTGATTTCACCGCCAATACCGTCACCGGGTATGAGGGTAACCTAAACACACTCGATACCAGCACCATATCCAAGGGTAGATTCACGCACCGTATATACGCCGCCGTACTTGGTCGGTAGCTGGGATGATACGATAAGTTCGATAACGCTATTCGCTTGGGCGTGAACTTACTCTTTGCGTGACTTTTGGAAAACCAGCCGAAAGAGTGGTTACAGTTCGCTTGAAAAAAAAGGTAAACATCACGCCATCTTATAAATTCAATTACCTACGGACTGCTGAAGAGCAGGGCGGGTCGCCGCCGACAGAGCGTTGCGGAACATTACTTACAGACGTTGTGGAATGAAGGAAAGAAACGGAGAGTAGTCGTGCAGCTAGCGGAACAGTTAGTTTTAGTTTTAGACATAAATTGTAGGAAAAATGAGGAGTGCCCGCCGCGCCGTGTAATCGGTTCACTTCATATTATATTTCAATTCCGCGTTTGTCCGTGTCAAAATTGCTCCCATTTCATTCACACTCTCTCTTGTTACAGTCCTCCCCTCCCTCAGCTTCTCTTTCCAAAAGGCTCAATGGCTGCCGCCCGTACTGCTTTCTCTCGTGTTGCTCCTGCTATCGCAAATGTTCGTGCACGTCCTTCATTGGCTCTAAAACGTGTTGCTTTCGCTCGCGGATATGCGACAGCAAGTGAAAACTCGGTAGGAGTTGCACGTCATTCTCATGCATCATGTCAATTCTGAACCATTTGGTAGATGACAGTCCGTGACGCACTCAATGTTGCTATGGAGGAGATGATGCGTGACGAGAACGTCTTCATTCTCGGTGAAGAGGTAGCTCGCTACAATGGCGCCTACAAGGTCTCCAAAGGTCTCCTTGACAAGTTCGGCGAGAAGCGTGTCGTTGATACTCCCATCACTGAGATGGGTTTCGCCGGTATTGCTGTCGGTGCTGCACTCTCAGGTTTGCGACCAATGTAATACACCCTTTTCCTTCTGGCGTGTTTTTTCTCATTATTGCTTAAAGATGCGAGTTCATGACCTTCAACTTCGCCATGCAAGCTATTGACCAAATTGTCAACTCTGCTGGAAAGACTTACTACATGTCCGGTGGAAACGTACCCTGTCCTGTTGTCTTCCGTGGCCCCAATGGTGCTGCTTCTGGTGTCGGTGCCCAGCACTCCCAGACTATGCAGCCTGGTATGGCTCAATTCCCGGTCTCAAGGTTGCAGCCCTTGGAGCGCAGAGGATTGTAAGGGTCTTCTCAAGGTTATTATTTTCTACAGTTTCTTGTCCGTATAGTTAACAACTCATAGCCGCTATTCGAGATCCTAACCCAGTTGTATTCCTCGGAATGAGATGATGTACGGTGTCACCTTCCCCATGTCTTCAGAAGCCATGTCAGACAACTTCACCCTTCCTATCGGCAAGGCAAAAGTCGAGCGTGAAGGAACCGATGTCACTATCGTAGCACACAGCAAGATGTCACTCACAGTCTAGAGGCCGCTGACATTTTGGCAAAGGAGGGTGTCAAGGCTGAGGTTATCAACCTCCGTAGCATTCGTCCTCTGGATATTGATACCATCAAGGCATCAGTCAAGAAGACCAACCGGTCAGGCAATCATTTAGACTAATGATCCATTGCTCAATCATTTTGTTACAGTCTCCTCATCGTCGAGGGTGGTTTCCCCGCCTTTGGTGTT